CCACGTCCACGACGTTCTCGATGTGGCGCGCGACGTCATGACCACGTTACAAGGGTGACTTGATGTCGCGTAACGGCGCCGTCCTCAACGCGACGTCACGACCGCGTTACAACGGCGACTTGATGTCGCCAAACGGCGACGTCCTCGACGCGACGCGATGTCACGATGGCCTTACGACAGCATCTTGGCGTCGCGTAACGTCGTCGACGATGACGTCGTGGCATCGTCGTGTCGTGGTGCTTTGACCTTACCTCTGGCGTCAAAATCATAAAAAAACTATAAGCCCCTAAGGGGCTATAGACCTTTTTCACAAGGGCGCCGCCATCTTGAAATATCGTCACTTCCAGTATGAGCGAGAACATTGTTTTGCCGTCGCCACGCCAATAGAATGCATTTAAAAGATAAGCGTAACCGTCACAGATTCTCGTTTTGTCTCCCATCTCTTTTTTTACTATAAGCAGGTTGAAACGTTTTAATATTTTTCCGTCGCCCATACCGGATATGCGTACTTGGCGGTCGGGGGCGAGAATAAGCGGAAAAGGTCTATATTGTCCATATGACCTTCACCTGTGTCGTTGCTTGATCGCAGCGAAGGTGGCGTTGCGATCTAAGTGGCTTGGTTCCACCTGATCGCTTTCCACATTTTGAGGGGGAACTGAAAGCACGAGCGGAGCCTATAGCTCGTCCCACTCGTATCTTCTAGTACACTCTACCTACGATGAATTCACACCAACTCGGCGCTCGCCTCTATGGCGCTCGCCTAGCTATAGGAGGTATTCACTGGACGCCATATTTGAGGGCGATGTTTAGAGCGCATGCTCAGAACGAGCTCACATAAATAGCCTGCTAAGACCGGCAACCTTGATGGTGCTAAATGCACGCTCCAAAAGGACTGCGGAAGCTCGCCGTCAGCACGCGCTCAGCAGCAGCGCACACGGATATGGCCGCCAGTGAATACTCCCTATATGTTCTTCAATGATAGCTGCAGAGCCGTGCATGGGGAGAGTTTGGCCAGTCTATGATCTCCCCGCCGGAACGCCCCCCTCCCGAGTGAGCCAATCAGCCCGCGGCGCTGAGCGAGAGGCGTGAGCGCATGCGCGAGAACTCTCGGCTGCTCCAAGCTGCTCCCAGCCACTGTATCCCAGCTGTGCGGGGAGGGCCGCCATTTTCATTCATTCGTCCGGCGGAATGCATGGGTTGACATCCAAATTTCGGTTCTTTCCTTTTATTTGGCAGGCTCTGGCAAGAAAATTATATGGTTTTATTCCTCGGTGGCTTAAATATCTAACGAACTAAGCTTCTCCACGTTTCAACGCAAAATTTGCTTCCGGCGAAAAAGAAATAAGAAGAAGCCACCTGGGCGTAAGACGTGTCTTTTCGATCGTCAGAGAGCCAGCCGAACCAGTGCCACAGACCATGTCTTCGATCGACAGAAGGTTCTCACGCTGCTGCAGTTACAAGCTGGACCGCAAGCTGGGAGACTCCAAGGCCCGCTTTCGTAAAGACCGCCGCCTGGCCAACACCGGCAACAACCCCTGCGGGGTGCTGGACTCCCTGCGCCGCCGGTAATTCGGCCGGCTCGTATTCAAGTATGGCACGCGAAGAGCCCTCTCCAGGCGCTTGAGACCGGCCTGCCAGAAGTAAGCAGCTCATGGCAGCACCGCGAAGACCATCACCGCGAAGATTGCTGCTAGGCCTAACACATTATATCATAATCACCATCACTTTCATGTGTATATTACATCATCACATAATCACCATCACTAGACACGGCACCGCGGGCCTCCTTGGTACGGGCTTTTGCCTTTCTGCGGTGCCGCGGCTCTCCTGAGCAAATAAAACATTATTATTAAATAAGCCCGTAGCAGACGACGCGTAGCCTAAACAGTGCCTCGCGCCGACAGCGTTGCATCGAAAATGGCGGCGCCAACCAGACTGGTTGTCTAGTTGCCGCCGTCGCTCATAGATGGCGGTATCTGTCCAGAGTTTTGTATCGACATTTGTTAGGTACCGGACACGAAACTGGGGAAAGTAGCCCTTAACAGCTACGCTGTAAAATCGGTAGAAAAAGATCCTTCCCGAAGGGATTACCAAGAACGCGGTGCCAATGCGGTTCCGCTCCCAGTGCGAACAAGTATTTACGTGGGTCTTGCTGACACTCCCGCATTCCCGAAGCCACGAAAAACGCCGCAGCGATTTGTTTAAATGTCCGACGCTTTGCAGAGCCGCACGGGCCGTCTTCCTGTAGCAACGATGGTAGTTGTGTTGACTTCCTACCGGTCGAGTTCGTTGCAGTCGACCAAAGCAGCTATCCCGTCATCGAAAGAGGTGGGCATTCGGGTCCGTTTACATAGACATTTCATCGCGTCGACATTATATCGAACGTACATAATCCCCAAACCGCTCCAAACAAGCGTTGCCGGAAAGACTACCCGATACTGAAACTATTGGCGGCCGATTCTGCTGTTACTAGAGAGTTTTAGTAGATCGTTCCGATACCTTCGATAGCCCCGATAACGATACTATGCATGCATGAGGGAGGCGGTGGTGGAGTATCGGGTATCGTTATCGGAGTCATGGGAACGATCTACTAAAACTCTCTACTATCTCCACCAAAACGGCTCGGTAGTCGGGACTCGATACTACGTTCAGGTGTAATTTCTATGAGTGAGCGTACCTTCCGTTGTGGCGCTGCTCTTAGGAACATGTTGTCGTCACGACATTCCATCGAGGCTTCACAGACATCCACGAGGTATTTTTTGGTTATCGTTTTCTTCAGTTTAAGATACGTTTTCTTGCCCTATCCTACGGAATATTAGTGTTGGCGAAAAATTTGGTTTCCGTACCCCTTAAAATCTCCCAATGTGAAAGCAGGGAACGAAGATCAAAGTAGGTGAATGCCTTTTTTGGCTTCCCCAATCGGATCGTGTTGTGGCATGCCCCAAGCGGAAGTTCCAGTTTCTGAAACCAGTGTAGGATAGAAAGGAAGACCCGAGAGGCACTTGCTGCGTCGTGAGCAAGCCCCGTTTCAGCTTACGATGGAGTGCAGCGGACGCTACGAGCTATTCCGGCCAATCCAATGCCGTGTGAGTGTCACGTGACCTTCGGGAGGTGCGCAGCAGTGACGCGCGGGGAACCATGTCATGAGATACATTCACTGCGCTGGATTGGCTCGCAGAGTCGGCTGCCGTCATTCAAAATTAACTGTTGGGCTAGTTGGCTACACATTGTATAAAAATTCAAAAGCGCAAACACCAAGGAAAGCAAGAGGGGACAGGACAGGACAAGCGCTATGTCCTGTCCCCCTCTTCTTTTCCTTGGTGTTTCCGCTTTTGAATTTTTATACAATGCCGTCATTCGCAAACTAAAATAATGCCCAGCTACCAAAAAAAGAAAAAGTGTAAAAAAAAAGGGACCCCGTTTTTTTTTTTTAATTTTACAGTCTTTTGTGTTTTTTCTAGGATCGGCACTCTTTTTTTAGGGTGGGCACTCTTTCTTTCTACATATTGGCGTGTTTTTGACTGCAGTTTTTTTTTTTTTTTTTTTTTTTTTGACGGTGTTGTGAAATTCTACTTCTTTTTACATTTTCTTCGAACCCTGTTCTTTCTGCCGCCCCCGCCAACCCCCCCCCCCCCCCTCCCCCCCGAAATACAAATAACGTCTGAAAGAAAAAAAAATGCAGGGTTGGCATGCCCATGTAATCACGCGCAAGCCGCACATCCTTGCACTCATGGGGCACCAGTGGGGGCGCCCCATGAGTACATGCAAATGTAGGAAGGCTCTAGAGAGGGTGGGTGCAACTCAAAACCTGGAGAGCGTTTGCAATTTAACGGCGGCGCCTGAGAGAGAGGCTTCGGGAAAGTGAAAGGGTATGCGCCAATGTTGCCTGCACGAGAGCAGGCGCCCGCTCTGTTGCAACTCTGTTGCTCCATGCGCCTTTCCTCCTCTCGCTTCCCATTGCAAGCAACAAACGCCTTGGCGCAGCCTCTCTCGCTTCCTTCTCGCTCCGGGAATTGCAAACGTTGAGAGGAGAAACCAGGGTTGCAGACAAGCAGCAACGTCCAAGATGGCGGATTTTACCCTTTTTCGCGTTAAGAAAATACTTAACCTAACGCAACAAAACTGGTGGCTATTGAAAAGTAATCATTTATACCTTGTGTAAATTATTCAAGCACGTTAATGGGCTCTTATGACCTGAGTTAGGAAATAATACGACCCTTTGCCCCATAGACTCCCAGCAAAAATTAGCAATTAAATGGCGTCCATGTCCCGTGATCCCCGATCTAGCAGTTGCACCCACCCTCACTTGAGCCTCCCTATGCAAATGTCTCAACTATGAAAAAAAAAATCGTAAGGGTGCAGGCGAGCTGGTGATCATTAACCATGTTGAGTTAACCTGGGACAGGGATAAAGAAGAAACATCACAACGTAGAAGGGACAGAACATAGGCAGGACGACGTCTCAAACTCAGCTAACTCGTTTATTTAGTCCACCTCCTTATATAGTCCCACTCTCAAGATCATCTCCACCAACACAAAAGCACGAAGTCTATACAGTTGAAGCGCCACAGTCTTCATCACACAACTGGCGCTTGAACTGTATAGACTTCCTGCTTTTGTGTTGGTGGAGATGATCTTGAGAGTGAGACTATATAAGGAGGTGGACTAAATAAACGAGTTAGCTGAGTTTGAGACGTCGTTCTGTCTATTTTCTGTCCCTTCTACGTTTTGATGATTCTTCTCTACCCCAGTGTTAGGTTAATTCAACATGCTCAACTATGAGCTTATTATTGGCCCTGTCGGTGACACTGCAGAAAAGCTGTAAAGACATAGTTACTACGGGCCGTAAAAAGATGGTCACGAAAAGACAGAGGCCAATTTCCTCACTACTTATCTCTTTTTGCCAAAGTATCTGGTGTTAAGATTATCCCGTAAAACCGCTTACCTGCCGTCTTCGTACTACCACATGCTCCGGCTTCACTGCTTTTTACACATGGTAAAAAAGTGTCACGCAGTTAATTTATTCCGTGTTATCGCCGATTTTTTTTTTTTAATTTTTCGAACAGTTGTTATTGGCTAATACACACCCAATTGCGCCATTACTGTCGAATTCACGGCGCCTTGCCTTCGGAAAGCTGCTCAGCTCACGGCGTTTGGAATGCTGACCATATCCGGCTTCAAGAGAAAACTCATGTCATCTCCGGGCTCGTAGTAGACAGGTTCTTTGTCCTCGACGAACAGCTTGGCACCCGAAATTCCCAAGAGCACAGCCTGGTTACCTTCCACCTTGAGCACGGCGCCTTCCTTCAGACCCAACACGGGCATGTGATTCCCGACCTGCAGGTACTCCAAGATCCTATCGTCCCTTGTCTCTCCCATGTGGTTGCTCTCAGGATTCGTTTCGACGTAGTGCGGGTTGATGTTGAAAGGTACCAGGTTGAGGGCCACGAACGTCGGGGGGTACACGATCGGCATGTCGTTGGTCGTGCAGATGTTGGCCGTGGCCACGTTGCTCCCGGCGCTCGCGCCCATGTACGGCATACCTTCTTCGAGGCATCGAAGTCGAATCGCTTCGGCAACATTCGTTTCGTACAGCGTTCGGAGGAGTCTGAAGGTGTTCCCGCCGCCGATAAAGATGCCTTGGGCGTGCTTCACGGCAGCGACCGGGTCTGGGGCATCGTGAATGCTGTCGACGACGAAGTCCATGACTTGGAGGGCGTTTCTGGCCTTGTTCGCGTACGCGTCGTAATCGTGGTGGGCGTACGGCACGAATAGGATTCGTTTGACGCCGGACTTGGCAAAGAACTCTTTGATCAAGTCGCAGCAGTACTCCAGGTATTGGCCGCCGTGCATCGTGGAATTTGAAAGAAGCAAGAGCCGCCGCAGGGAGCTCAGTGAAGATGACGAGGACGACGACATTTTGGCTATGCTGTGGTGATAACGGGCAACGGGTGGTATTTGCGCAGGCCGCGGAAGTGGTCGTTCGTCGGGGCTTCTAATCGGCGAGCGGCGACCCGCCGGCGAACGCTGCATCAGCCGCAACCCGTGTAATCGAAAAGTTAGACGAAGTGACACCAGAGGGTAGCGGGATCGCGAAGCGCTTCGGTGGTAAGTGTTGCCCTCACTAGATGGCGCCAGCAGCTCAAGCATGATGCGATATCGGCGATATAGGGATATCGGGCAGTGGTGGCTGCGGCATTTGCTGCCGTCAATAGCTGGAGTGGAGCGAAAGTGTAAACTTTTAATACTTGGCTTTATCGGTTCCATTTAAAGTGTGAAAGAGTGAGGACCCGAGGAGCTACAAGAGCGAGCGTAACGCTTTGAGCGAGCTGTGAAACAAAGTCTAGGCAGCCGGCAATGGCCAGGCGGCGCCACGAGAACACTGCATTCAGCGCCACAAGCGGAGGCGTCTCTGTTATTGGGGCGGCCAGTTTTCCCGTCGGGCCGTTGCGAGCGGCGGCGACCCCGATTTCAGCAGTCCCCGTGTGTACCTGCGTCCCTGGTTCTTTTGTGCGGTTTTTTAATCGGGAGCCTTGCTAGGTCCAAGTGCTGAGAGAATATTCTAGAGTCGTCGTTTGGACACGTTTGAGTTGTCTTCACTACTTGTGGCCGCCAGGCGCCCGATCGGTCTGTGCTTCGCTCGTTTCCCAGTAAGTGACACAATACAAGAAATGGGTTTATTGTACATCCCGATTGCCCGTCTTCGAAAGCCGGCACTCCGGACCCGCGGACCTTAGTTGTCGCCCGTCGTTCAGAGCTCACAGTCGGAGCCCGTGTCCAGGTCTGCGGATCGCCCTTCCCACGCCAGCGCTGCGTAGGCTAGCTGTTCTGGGCCATCAATGCCAAAGTCTCGCTGCGGAACCAGTCCGGGATCGTCATGGACTAGGCCAGTATGGTCAGGGTTCGCCGCTTCCGCCGGTCCTGATCCGAACTTCGCTGGTGGAATGCTCCCGGGAATCGCCATGGGCCAGACCAGCCAGAACGGCTCTATCGTTCCTGCCCGGCCCCAGACTCGCGCAGCAGGCTCTTCCTCGCCGGCTGGCCCCCGCTCGCGCCTCGCTCGGCCGTCCTCTCCTCCCGACGCCCACACACACTAGAATAAAATTTGGGTAATTAGAACCAAACTCTGCATGCTACAGAACCGTACGCACATTGCAAAGCCTGGTGTAAAATGGCGACAGGCAACGAAGTGTACGCGTGAGAAGGACATTTACGCTTCGCATGATATTTCTCTAAAGAAAAACTTTAGCATCCAGCTTTCTGCATGCCGTCACAATTGTTACCAGACTCAGCATTAAATTTGGTTGCTGAAACGAACAAAATTTTGTGCTACGAAAATCCATTATTTGAAAACTCGCAGGTTTGGAAGGTTTTGGTTGCGACCACGCGTGCCGAACGGCATTAGGAGTGCCGGAACGGACCGACAAGCCTTTCGCTTGAAGACCTGATCGCCCGATTCCCGACGCCACAGCGAAGCAACAATCGCCCCGATTGTTCCTATCGTATTTCCCTAATGTGGCTGTCAAAGCGACTCGTAATACAACTTGTATAAATATGTTATTTTGCCGAGTAGTCCGCAAAATGAGTTCGTCCGACCACTTTCCAAGCCTGCACATATATTTTCGTTCCCTTCCCTCCCAACAGTTTCTGTAAAATTCACTTACTTGTTGCGTCGCACTGCAGTAATCCACTTTTGTCGCCGTGTCGCTTCCCAAGATCTCGAAGGGAAGCGGTGAAGTTCGACGCTTGAGTCACCTTCGCGACTGTGGCCGTCTTTCATGCAGCAGTAGCAATGTTTATTTTTTGGAAGAACTCCACGAGTAGGCGAGATGTCACAGGAACCCGGTGAGGTTATAGATACGTGAAGTTGGGACTTTTACGAAAGACGGATCCAAAAAAACTCACGCCGATCCGAAATGCAACGTTCACACGTGGTTTCTGGATGCGCCCGCCCGCAGCCCCCGCTACCCGCGTAGTCCTGGCCTACCCAGTTTCTTTATTTTGCAGCCGCTAGATGGCGCAACGTGTAGCGCCAAACTGCATTGCAGGTTGCCTCTAGTGTTGCTGTTCTTTCACGAGGAATCAGGCGTACTGTTTCAGACAAAACCCCGAGACTGGAGGAAAAAAAAAAGGACAGCACAACACAAAGTCTCAATCTCTCCCCAGTCTCGGGGTTTTGAGTAAAATGTTAAACCATCACCAGCTTGTTTGCGCCCTAACCCTTAGGCGTACTGTGTTTGCCAGTCGCGAGGGGAGCGCGAATGCACTATGGGAGGCACTCACTTGATCGAATGACGTTTTAGCGAACGCCCACGTTTCATCGAACGACACTTTAGCGAATAGTCGGACGCCGCGAAGCGGCGTTTTCGGGTGGGCCAAGTGAGCTCATATTTTTGTAATGAGTTGCCGCAGACTGTCGCCGCGAAGCGGCGTAAAGCGCAGCGCGACGGATGGGTTAACGCGCGCCCCCCGTTATTCGCTAAAACGACCATTCGCTCAAATGTCGCCGTTCGCTAAAATGTCATTCGCTCTTGTGATATGGACCCATGCACAATATGTTGGCACTTCGCGGGGTGACTTATTTTACCGGAACAAGCTAGAAACTTACAGCTGCTTCGCGAAATGCGTTCCCCGTCCTCTTCCGTCACTAATCACCATGACGGTTGGTACTTGGAAGGAATAGTTAAGCTTTTGTGTCGATACAGTATTTCCTTATGGAGTGGTGTCAATAATCATTTCATGCAAATGCGCGTCCGCCCCAGTCAGCAATATTGTTGTCATCAATCCCATATTTCTATATCACAAAGGTCAATCTATGCTGATTTAGCCCAAAACACCGAGGTGACATGACCCTATAGTGTAGCCGTCTCCTAACTCTGAGCGCCTATAAAAAAGTTGAAGGAAATCGTTCTCGAAGGCGCACTCTTCGAGATGTGCGCCTCGAAGTGCCAGTGCAAGCGCCTGTTAGCAATATCATTTTGCAAAAACACGATCTACTCAATCTCCACAATAATACAGCCAGGGCACTTAGCCAGGATTTTGATTCGGGGGGGGGGGGGGGGGGGGGGGGAGGGGAGGGGAGGGGAGGCGAGGGCGCCCATGACAAAATGCTGTACGGTGGAGAGGGAGGAGAGAGAAGAGGAGACCCCGAAATCTTTCATTTTGCTGGGGTCTCCTCCGAATTCGCGAATTTCT